ATGTTAGCATGTAATAGGTATTTCTATCATTTTATTTTAATCTATTTGGGTTTTCTTATACTTCTTATGAACAGCATATAATTGGGTCTTGATCTTTTAATACAGTCTTGCTCATTTCCGTCTTTTAACTGGGATTTTATAGTGTTTACATTATTTATTTACTTGTCCAATTAGATAAATAAAAAGAGTTTGGAAAATAGTCCTAACCATATCAATAATTACGCTCAATTGAATGCAATTACATTGAATACAATATTTAATCAAGTAATATTTTACCACTTCATGTTCAGTATAAGAACTTGGCAGTAGCGTACTTGGATTGCTCCTTTCCTAGCCACCTTTTCCCTATTGCTGTCAAATATTTTGCTTATATATGTTATCAAGTCCAAAAATATTATTTTTTCTTAACTGATATTTTAAACATATTCAAATCATAAAATATGTTTAATAGACTTTCCATTTTTCAGCTCTCTTATTCGTTTGAGTATATTTAGATTTCCATTTGTTAGCACTTTCCTTCTGCCTCAAGGACTTCCTTTAACATTTCCATAGTGCAGATCTGCTGGTTATGAACTTTTCCAGCTCTTGCATATCTGAAAATGTCTGTATTTTACCTTAGTTTTTGACAGATATTTTTGTCATATATATATGGGTTATTTATTTTCTTTCCATGTTTTAAAGATGTTGCTCCACTGTCTCCTTACTTGCATTGTTTCCAGCAGTAAATCTGTTTTAAATCCTAATCTCTGTTTCAACTTTCTCTGACGGGTTTTAAATGTTTTTCTTTTACCACTGGTTTTGAGCAATTTGATTATACTTTGTCCTTTTGTAGCTTTCTTCATCTTTCCTTTGCCTATCATAACTGAGTTTCTTACATTTATGCTTTTCATCAAATGTTGTTTGTTCTTTCATTATTTATTCAAATATAGTTTCTACCCTCCCCCTTCTCCTTTAGGGACTCCAGTTTTATGTACGTTCGATCACACGTGAAGTCATTCCGCAGTTTACTTATGCTCTTTTTTCTCTGTGTTTCAATTTGTGTAATTTCTGTTGTTATGTCTTCAAGCTCACTAATGTCTTTTTTATAGTCTCTATTCTACCATTAATTGCATTCAATGTATATTTCCATTTCATATAGCTTTCATCTCTAGAAGCTCGGTTTGGGTCTTTTGTATATCTTCTATGTCTCTACTTAACTTTTTGGACATACATATTACAAATAGTAACTGTTCAATATCTTGGTCCAGTAAGTCTGACATCTGTGGCAGTTCTGGGTTGTTTTATTATTTTTTTCTCACTATGGGTTGCATTTTCTTGCTTCTTTGCATGTATGGTAATCTGTCTGTCTGGTTGGACATCAGACAAGGTTTTGCTTTTCGTATTTCTGCAGATCTCCCTCCCTGTGCTTTGTTCTGAGATATAGTTAAGTTACTTGAAAATAGTTGGATCCTTTTGGGTTTTGTCTACACATATTGTTAGGTAAGGAAGAGCATCATTTAGTCTATGGCTAATTATTGTGTAGTACCTAATGCCCTGTTAATTATAAGATATTACAGTCTGGCTGGTGAGCACAATTTCTGTTCCTAGCCTTGTGAGCACCTGGTATTTTCCTCAGTGATCCTTTCAGAAGATTCTTTCCCTAGCCTCAGGTTATTTTTTCATGTACTTACGCTACTCAGAACTCTGCTGAATATTCAAGGAAGACCTGCAGATCTCCAAGATTCTCTCTGTACAATAATCTCTGCGGTTGTGTTCTGACCACCAAACTCAAGTCGACTTGTTCTCCCCATACTCTCAGCTCAGTGTGTTCACTGGGCTTTCTTAGGGTTTCCCCTCCCAGAAGCCTCTATAGCCCAGAAGCTCTTAGAGTCATGCTGGGGCAGTCATATAGCTTGCCTCGTCAGTTTTTCATTTCCTGGGAATTAAGTTGTTGGTTGCTTGATGTCCAGTGCTTGAAAACCTTTGCTTCATGTATTTGTTCCAAATGGGAAACTTTTTGAATTAAAATCTGTTGTCTTATACAGTAAAGTAAAACAAATTTATGACACAGTGTGATTTATCGAAGAGTTTTGTATCAGGTAATGCACTTGTGAGCACAATATATTCATATATGTTGGTTGTAATGGGTGCTACAATGGGGTATTAAATACAGTTTAGCGGGAAGATTGCAGGTGGTTTGTCAGCTTGATCCTCACCAGACTTTGGAAGGTTTGTTTAGATCATAAAATACAGAAAACCTTCATACTAAGATCTTTACATTTTAAAATTCTGGTTTTCTGAATAGGTTTTCATTGCGGGTAAGAGTTTAAGAGGAAGAAATGGGGTGATTATGTGTTAAAGAGGCCTTTGGGCTTCTTTAGCTCTGAAGCCTGCTGTTAAATAAGAGTATAGATATTAAACAATCTCCTAAATTGCCCCTGTTACTCCTCCTTTATCCAATTTTTCACAAATACTGTTTCTGGATTAATTTTTCTAAAACAGATTTCTTGGTTTTTGTCTCACTTTCTCAAAAACCTAGTCTATAAGAGGGGGCAACATGCAAACAGATTAATAGAATACCATGAGGTGCAAGCCAGATCAGGTACAAAACACTGTGTAGACCTAGAGGAAGATAATATTTCAACCACCTGGGGCGCAGAAGAGGAGTGTACTAGGTAAATGGACGAGGAGAGGCGCTTCAGGAAAGAAATATAGTACCGTAGAGACATTCAAGCTTAAGGAATGAAGGTGGTAGGGAAATAAGGAGGGAGGAAGTAAGGAGGGCCTGGAAGCCAAGCCAAGGAGTTTAGTATGACAGAGATCCTGGTTTTCCTGTGTTCCGCACCTTTTTCTTGGATAAATTTAAGGGCTACAAGTGCTGTTTGTTACATGAGTATATTGTGTAGTGGTAAAAGCTGGACGTTTAATGTATTCACCATGTGAATAATGTAGATTGTGCCCATTATGTACTTTTTCATCCCTCACTCCCCTCCCACCTGCCCCCCAACCACTGATCTTCTGAGTTCCCAGTGTCTGTCATTCCACACACTATGACCATGTGTATACATTATTTAGTTCCCACATATAAGTGACACTATCAGTATTTGACTTTTTGAGTTGTTTCGCTTAAGATAATGGCCTCCCATGCAGCCAGGGATGTTGCTGCAAAAGACTGATTTCATTCTTTTTCATAGCTGAGTAATATTTCATGGTGTGTGTATGTGTGTATATATACAACTTTTTCTTGATCCAGTCGTCCACTGATGGGCAGTTGGATTGATTCCATATCATTGCTATTGTGAATCACTTCTGATTAGCATTTTAGCACTTCAAAAATATCCCAGCATAGAAAGTAAATTATGTAGTCAGCATGGAAGAGTTTTAAGCTGGAGAGTGATATCATCAGGTTTGTACTTTAGAGTGATTAGTTCCTCTTATGAAGTAATAAATGGTATAGCATTTGTCCTCTTGCCATAAACAACTAGAAAACTACACAAAATATGCAAAATCACTGTTTTCAGACATTGGAAAACAGTACAGAATCCTGATCCTGTAAAGGGAAATAAATTAGGTGACTACTGTAGTTATCTCAGATTTATATTCAGAGCTGCTTTCTAGACTGTAGTGAACAGAGAGAGCTTTAAACAGAAACTAGAAGTCTCACTGAGTTGAGGGAAAATAGACTATGAAAAGGCCTAGGCAGCTGGAATTTGCAAGACAGAATACTAAAGTGGAGATATTCAGAGGAAGAGTGCCAGAAATCTACATAGGGGACCCCTTGAGTGTTTGGCTGAATACTAATCCTTGCATGCATAATATGAAATTCCACAAGGCTATGCAAATAAAAATTGCCATGGAGCTGCTAGAGGAACAACTCCAGGAGCTCACATACAGCAGAGATATATTTAAATTCTCACAAGCCATAATGGAAAGACCCTGTTAACAACCCAGAGCATTAAGTAGAGATACCAGCTATGTCTTAGTAATACAGCTAAAATTTTTCTAGAATAAAGGATTGGCTGCACCCTAACAAAATTTAAAAATAAGCTTTGATACACAAGTAACCTAATTTCTCAACAAAACAAACTTCATCAAGCTCTGAAGAAAGAAAAGCATTACCAACATCCAAAATGTTAAGCATCATTCCCTAATTTAAGGCAAAGCAGCAGCAAATATGACCCGCAGCAAAAAGAAAATAGACCATGTTCTGGGTATAAATAAATCTCAATAAGTTAGAAGGACTGAAATAATACAGAATATGTTTTCTGACCAAAACAAAATGAATTTAGAAATAAAAGAGATAGCTGGAAAATCCCCAGATATGGGGAAATGAAACAACATATTTCTAAATCCATATGTCAAAGAAGAAATCATCAGAGAAATCAGAACAAATATTGACCCTAATGAAGATATGAATGTAAAATGTAGTTAGAGCAGTTTTTCAAGGAAATCTTATAGCTTTAAATGTTCATAAAAGATAAGAAAGGTTGAACATTAGTTCCCTGAGTTTCCACCTTAAGAATCTAAAGTGCAAAGAGTAAATTAAACCCAAAGGAAGTAGAAGGAAAGAAGTAATAAAGATAAGAGCAGCACTCATTAAAAATAGAAAATGGACAAAGATACAGAAAATTTATGAAATCTAAAGCTGCTCCTTTGAGAAGGTCAATAAAATTAATAAAGTTCTAAGTGGGCTAAACAGCAGAAAAGAGAAAACATGAATAATTAATATTGGCGATGAAAGAGAGGACACCACCATGTAACCGGTTCATGGGACGCAGAGGAGAGCAGAGAGGCCACCCAAAGACGTTCCCAATGCCCTGATCAGGAGGGGGACGCACTCAGCTCCCTCCCCTTCAGATTCTTTTCCCGATGTGTCTGAGCTTCTTGGCCTCTCTTTGCCTCAAGAATGGGAGAAAGATTAGCCGGGCGTGGTGGTGGTGGCACGGGCCTGTGGTCCCAGCTACTCGGGAGGCTGAGGCAGAAGAATCGCTTGAACCCTGGAGGTGGAGGTTGCAGTGAGCCGAGATTGCGCCACTGCACTCCAGCATGGCGACAGAGCAAGACTCCGTCTCAAAAACAACAAAAAAAGAATGGGAGAAAGAGCCCTGGCAGCCCAGTGAGCTTACCATTTAAGTAAATATCATACCCAAAGAGTTTAGCAGAAAGCGATTTATTAGGCAGAGATGGGTAGAGAGCGCTCCCGTGCTGCTGTGGGAGGGGATCTCAGAGAGGGAAATCCGTGCAGGTAAGGTGCAGAGGAGTTTTAACTTTGAAGTTATTCCCACCCCATTCATGTTCTTGTCCAATGAGAGGAGTTCTTTCAAACTTCCTCTGGACTGTTTTATTTTCGACTCTGATGCCGGATTGGCTGTCCCGCCCAGAACTGTGGCCTTTCCAGAGCTTTTCGAGTGCTTTTTTAAACGAAGGAGCACACCTGAAATTTTACTTAGCTGCGGGAAAGTTAGACAAAGAACTCTAGGCTCCCGGATTGGGAGGTGGATGGAGGCATGGGGGGAGTTTTTGCCTTTGAAACCACACCCCTTGTGGACCTGGGAAGACAAGTTTTTTTCCTTTAATACAGTCCCTCAATCACAGATACTGCAAACATTAAAAGAATAAGGGGCTACTGTTAGCAACTTTATGCCAATAGATTCAATAACCTAGAGGAAATGTACAAATTTATTTAAAGATAAAAATTACCAAATCTGCACCAGAATAAAATAGAATCTGCGTGGTCCTAACAGTGTTAAAGAAACTGAATTTGTAATTCCCCCAAATTCCATGTGTGTTAGTCAGTTTTGTATTGCTGTAAAGGAATGCCTGAGGTTGGTAAATTTACAGAGAAAAGATGTTTGGGCTCAGGGTACAGGCGGTATAAGAAGGACGGTGCCAGCATCCACTTCTGGTGAGGCCTCATGAAGCTTATAGTCAGGAGCAGGTGTGCCACATGGAGAAAGAGGGAGGCAGAGTAAAAGGAAGTGCCATGTTCTTTTTTAAACAACCAGTTCTTGTGGGAACTAATAGAGCTAGAAACTCACCCATTACCATGGGGAGGGCACCAGGCCATTCATGCAGCATCCGCCTTCACGACCCAAATACCTCTCGCCAGGCCCCGACCTCCAACACTGGGCGTCATCGCATTTCAACATGAGATTTTATTTTCCAGGAACATGTACGCTTTATTGAACACCATCTTAGAAGAGTGTGTGAGGATAAAGGGCTGATGCAGGACTCGGCTCGGGGGCAGGGTGAGGAATGGAAGGTGGAGTACATGGGAAACAGGTCACGGGCAGAGCCCCGCTTGGATGATTCCTCTCATCTATTGATAGACTTGCAAGATCAGTACTGGGATGATGATCAGCAGAAGGCTCATGATGATGCCCAAAATCAGGGCCCAGACGTTCAGATACTTGGCAGTGGAGGCATAGGCCTGGGCCCCAGTCAGGCCGCCAACTATCTTCCTGTCCCTAGACTTCACGGAGTAGGCGAACACTGTGAAGCCCAGGCAGCAGGAGTTCATGAAGAGGGTGTTGAACAGGGACCAGACCACATGGTCGAGCATGGAGGTCTCACTGAGGATGTGGATCACAGTGGATGTTGGAGAAGCCAGGTTATGGGGCACCCCTAGTGCAGCCACCTCATGCTCCTCCCTCAGCATCTCATAGCTGGGGGGATGGTCAGTGTTGGAGGGAGTGAAGAAGGTTTGGACAGTGTGGTTCATGGTGTCCAGGGAAGACCAGCTATGGTCGGGTTGCTGGGATGGTTCTGAGACGGCCTCAACATGAGATTTGAAGGGGAGAAATATTCAAACCATATCACCCTGATCAGGTGGCATCACTCAAATGTTACAGATTGAGGAAGAAATAATATTAACAGTGTACAAAATTTATTCAGAAAACAAGTGAGGAGGAAACGTGTCCCAGATATGTTTTTCATGAGGCCAGCATTCGATGATATCAAAACCAGACAAAGAAAATAACAGACTAGCACCTTTCACAAAATTTGGCTAAATTCAGAAATATATAACAAGTAAATTATTCCAGGAATGCCAAGAAGGTTTAACATACAAAAGTTAGTCAGTGTAATTTTCCATATTAGCAGAATAAAGGATAAAATTATATGACTATTTCAACTGGTGCAGAAAAAGCATTTGGCAAAATTTAGTGTATATTTAACTCTGAACAAACTAGGAATATGTGGAAACTTCCTCAGTTTGATAAAGAGTATCCACAAAAAGCCTATAGTAGTTTTAACTCATGATAAAGGAACAAATTGTTTTCCTCATAACGTAGTAAGGCAAAGATGTAGAGTCTTGCCAATTTCATTTTGATTTTGTTTTGTTTTCTTTTTTGTTTTTTTCTTTAAAGAGACAGAGCCTCACTCTGTCACTCAGGCAGGTTAGAGTGCAGCAGCTCAATCACGGCTCACTGTAACCTCAAACTCCTGGGCTCAGGGTATCACCCCACCTCAGCCTCCCAAGTAGCTGGAACTACACACATGCTCTGCTAGTGCGCCCAGCTAATTTTTTTATATTTTGTATAGATGGAGTCCTGTTACCCAGGCTGGTCTCAAGCTCCTGGCTTCAAGCGATCCTCCAGCCTTGCTCCCAGAGCACTGTGTAATAGTGTCTAGAAAAAGACTCACATATCCAGTCTATTCTCATTGTTCACGGCATTGTGTTTTACAAAGTCGTATTGAATTAGCAAATTCCATACTGAACCTAGGGAAAATGCAAAGTTAAGTTCCTGTGAGCCTCTGGTCACACATCAGCCTATCAATACATAACCTTGTTGTATGTGTGTTTCTGTTTAAAGACACCTTATTTAACATATATTGTTGATTTATTGACATTGAATTCACAGCCAACAGCACTATAACCCATGCCCAAATGAAGCATATATGATGCACTTTTTTACTACATAGGGGACATCACAACCTTCTTGCACTTAGGATCACTAGACAGCACTGATTATGATGCCTGGGGCCTGTTTTAAACAGCAAAATTACAAAAAAAAAAAAAAGAAAAAGAAATTACAAGAAAAATTTATAAATAAATAGAGATAAAAATGGAAACAAAGCATACCAAAACTTATGGGACACAGCAGAACCCGGGAGGTGGAGGTTATAGTGAGCTGAGATTGCACCACTGCACTCCAGCCTGGGTGACAGAGGGAGACTCAAAAAAAAACAAAAAAAAAAAAAAGGCACGAAATTCCAAAAAATATGGCACTAAATATACTACGAAAAGGACAGCCATTTACAGTATGAGAACTGAAACAAGAAGGCAGTGTGTCACCTTTTCAGCTTTCAGCCTTGGCTGGAAACATGCACATTGGGCCAGTCACGGTTTTCGTCATTCTGTGCTGTCCATAAATGACCAGGAAAGCACTGTGAGTATGAAATTTGGGGCACCAGTAAACTTTAATGAGGGGCAAATTCAGAAATAAACAATCCATGAATAATGAAGATTGACTGTACAGTTAGCCGTCTGTATTTGTGGGTTCCACATTCATGGATTCAATCAACTGCAGATCAAAAATATTCAGGGGCTGGGGAGAGAATGGTGCATCTGTAGTGAACAGGCACGGACTTTTTTCTTGTCATGATTCCCCACACAGTGCAATAGAGCAACTAGCTACATAGTATTTACATTGCAGTAGGTGTTGTAAGTAACCTAGAGATTATTTATTAAAATATATATGAGAATTACATGGAAATACATCATTGTATATCATTTTATATAAGATCCACAGATTTTGGTGTCCCCGGGGTCCTAGAACCAATCCCCCAAGGATACTGAGGGGCCACTGTATATTGACAACTAATCTTCCATAAAAAAAGAGGAAACTTAGCCCTTACTCTCCTATTCCCAGGCCAACATGATCACTAAAGTGCTTGCAGTCAGTATAGTTTAGTTCTGCATCACCAGTTCTAGAACATCACCTGTCTAGAATCAAATGGTATATACTCTTTGTGCCTGGCTATTTTTACTGTTTTTGAGATTTACTCGTGTTTTGTGTACTCAGTTCATTCTTTCTGTTGCTGAAAAGTGTTCCATTTTATGGGTATATTATAATTTCTTTATCCATTGTTTATTTGCCATGGATATTTTGACTTTTCGGTTTGGGTTGTTGTAAATAAAGCGGCTGTCATTTATCTTGAGTAAATACCCAGAGTGACGATCACTGTACATTTATCAGAGTTGTAGGTTGTTGTGTATTTATCAGTGTTTATTTGCCTTAGGACTATGGACATTTTAAGCCAGATAATTTTTGGTTGTGGGACGGTCCTGTTCACTGTAGGATGTTTAGCAATCTGCCCAGTAGATGTCAGTAGCACCCCCTTTGTTGCAACAGCCAAAAATATCTCCAGACATTCCATGTCCATGGAATTATGGACATGGCACCACACCTGGCCAACAGCTTATTAAAATTTTGAATGTCAGGCTTTGTACTTAGCATTTCATATGCAGTCATGCATGGTACAACAGTACAGATACATTCTAAGAAATGTGTTGAAACCTGCTATAGAATTTAGTTACTACTTAATGGATATTGATAATAAAATTGTAAAAGCAAACTCCGGCATAAAGGAACATCCTTAAATGCATGACTACAGCTCATGGTTCCTTTGCTGGGGAAAGCAAATCTTAGATCTTTCATTCATTCACTAGAAGGTTCTATGTGGTGCATTTCATTCAAAAATTACAAAGCCTTAGGCCCATTGTGTGTAGATATTGAAAAGCATGTGGTAGTTTTATTAATAAATTTTGAGTTGTTTTATTGTGGTTGCTACTGTCAGACGTAGTTACCACGTTAGCCCAGTTATTAGTTCATGTCCTCATGGCACTTACTGTATGGGCTTTTCAGCCAGTTCAAGACTCTGATGTTACTGTCACATTTCTTTTCTTATCTGTGCTGGATACACATTTTTGGACAAGAAACATTAGCTTGCACTATTTTCTAAGGCAGGTTGGTAAATGCTTGAGTAGTCATTTCGTTGGAAGAATTTATCACAGGCAAGAGTTTCACATGGGAACTCAGTATGTATTTTCTGATGAGCAATCACTTTGCATTTATTTTTGCAGGAGCTGCCATCAACAAACTAATTTTAGGTATTATCACCAGGGTCCATGCATGTGTAATTTTTACTGGATCTACATTCCTTTCATTGTTGAAATTAGTTGAATGATTCTGTAATTTGCTTTAAAATGCAAAGAAGATCATTTTGTAGCCATCTTTTAATTTGCAGAGCTTGCGCTTCTGCCACTGATGTTTATTTTTCCTGAAAGCCTTTAGAAAGCGTGGGAAGGACTCAGTTAGGTCTGTAACTTCCCATGGAAGCGGCCTCTGAATTCTTGAGCAATATCACTTTCAGCCTCTCCTGACATGACCCGTTCTTGGTGTGATTGTCAGTGGTTCCAAATGAAAGTCTCTCTTGAGGTCGGAGGCAGGAAGAGGCCAAGCTGCCATCCGTGCAGGTTAATCCCAGCGGCGATACAGAAAGGCCTGCATGGTGGAAGTTCTGGGAGAGGGCAGCCCTACTGTCACTCTGATCCCATTTTCATGATTTCTAGGTTGTCTAGAAAAGAAGGCAGAACCAGTGGCCTGAATCCTCAACTATTTTTTTTTTGAGACAGGGCCTCACTCTGTTGCCCAGTCTGGAGTGCAGTAGCACAGTTAGCTCACTGTAGCCTCGGACCCTTGAACTCAAGTGATCCTCCCACCCCAGCCTACCAAGTAGCTATGACCAGGCATGTACTACCGTGCGCAGCTACATGCACTTCCATGCCTAGATAATTTTTCTGTAGAGACAGGGTCTTGCTGTGTTGCCCAGGCTGGTCTCAAACTCCTGACCTCAAGCAATCCTCCCAGCTTGGCCTCCCAAAGAGTTGGAATTATGGACATGGCACCACACCTCGCCAACAGCTTCTTATTAAAATTTTGAATGCCAGGCTTTGTACTTAGCATTTCATATGCAGTCATGCATGGTACAACAATACACATACATTCTGAGACGTGTTGTTAGGCCATTTCATTGTTTTGTGAACATTATACTTCATAACTAAGATAGTATAGCCGACTATACACCCAGGCTGTATGGTACGGTCTGTTGCTCCTAGAACAGAAACCTGCACAGCATGCTACTATACCGAATACTATGGGCAGTTGTACCGCACTGATTACTATATGTGTATCTAAACACAGAAAAGGTAGAGTAGAAATACAGCAGAAAAGATTTTTTTAAAAGTACACTTGCATAGGACACTTACCACAGATGCAGCTTACAGGACTGGAATTTGCTCTGGGTAAGGCAGTGAGTGAGTGCTAAGTGAATGTGAAGACCCAGGACATTACTGTACACTACTGTATGCTGTGAACTTAGACTGTGCTATATTTATGTTTTTAAAGACTTTCATTTCTTCAATAATAAATTAACCTTAGCCTATTCTTACTATAACTTTTTTACTTTATAAACTTTTAAAGTTATGTAACTTTCACTCTTTTGTAATAACACTTAGTTTAAACAGAAACACATTGTGCAACTATTGAAAAATAGTTTCTTTATATACTTATTCTGTAAGTTTTTTTTCATTAAAAATTCTTTTCTTTTTAAATTTTTTGGGCTAAAATCAAAGACACAAGCACATTAGTGTAGGCCTTCACAGGGTCAGGATCATTGGCGTCACTGTTTTTCACTTCCACGTCTTCCGCCCTTCTACTGGAACGTCTTCAGGGGCAGGGGTGGTAACATGCATAGAGCTGTTATCTGTGAAAGGAGTGCCTTCTTCTGGATAACTCATGAGGAACTGCTTGAAGCTGTTTTACAGTTACATTTTTTTTCAATAAGTAGAAGTAGTGCACTCTAAAATATAAAATATAGTGTAATGTAATAAACATAAACTTGTGACACTTGTTTATTATCATTATGAAATAGTATATACTGTACATAATTTGTATGTGCCATACTTTTATATGACTGGCATCACATTAGGTTTATTTACACCACGATCACAACAAACACATGACTACTGTGTCACACTGTGACATTACAATGGCTACAACGTCACTAGGTGACAGGACATCAACTCCATTATAATCTTATTGGACTGCCCTCATATATGCGGTCTGTCATTAACTAAAATGTTGCCAAGTAGTGCATGACTATACATTATCTAATTTCATATGTGTCATCTAGTTCTGAGAAGTATCATAACAATTTTAGGAGGCATTTTGCCAGTAAGGAAGCAGACTCCAAGGATGGCCAGCCACAGCTCTCGGAGCTGGTATACAGCTGAGCAAACCGAAAGCCAAGCCTCTCACCAAACTCCAGGGTTTTTTTTCTTCCCCCTCTTCCCTGCTCAGCCAAACCTGTTTTTATCCAAATTGGAAACCTA